TCATACTGCCACTGCTTAAACCTTTATAGTCATTTGTATTAATTTGTAAACTTATTTTGTTTTAGAATACAACTGTTAGTTACATCACATTACTTCACTGTTTGTGTGCCTTAGGGCACCAGGCAAATATTTTAGATGTGCCTTTCAGAAATCAAGTTTGCCCACATGTTTTAGAATAAATAACTGTAGCAATGATGATCATTTGAAATGATTGTTAGTAAACAACAAATGAAACCTGTTTTCTGTTATCACTGATATGTCTTCTGTTTAAGATGGCTTTCTTAAGCTTCATTTGTTCTGTTTTCCCAACATCTTTAATAGCTAAGACGTTTGTGACAGGTTCACTTGTTCAATATATCTCACATACACAATTTCCTCTTCAATAACCGAACTATCAGTACTCTCATTGCTCTAAATGGAAAAACAACCAGATTTCTTTACATCACCCATCATAATTCCAATGATTTCCTGGGCGATAAAGTCAATAAATGTTTTTGCTTGTTTGTCATTTGAGTAAGTGTTTGGGGGATTAAATGACTAAAGGTGAGTTATGTCTCTAAAAATTAGGTGTGCCATGAAGGCACCGAGAACATTTTTTATCCGCGCCATTTCAATATTTACCGTGCCATGGCACGCTAATATATGGGGTATTTCGAACCCTGCACTGCGTGTTTCTATGTACTGATTCCTGCAGTAGCTTCACCTTGGGAATCAACATGTAACACGTCTAAACTAAACATTTCAAGGTAATTGCTGTAGTGTGATAGGGTTACTCAATTTTACCCTGGGTAGGATTGAGACTACGAAAGTAAAAACTAAAATAGCAACTGCAGCGAAGGCGGTTGACTTGACATGACTTTATAGGACTACATACTTTAACAAAATATTTAATGGACACATGTGGTTTGAGAACTAGGGGCATAAAAACATGTAATGTAAACCGTGAAATGTACCAGGTGCAAATCAGATTGGGACCATACTGGAACCTTATGCAAGAGTGATTCCGAGCTCTCCAGAATCCAGCAGATGTCGGCAAGACATTTTGGAAAGAAAATGTGAGCAGCACATCAAACTATGATTTGGCAGTTATAAAGAATGCCGCTATATTTTCTAAATATAAAGAATCATCATTTAATAACAGAAGGGACACTTATCATCGAGATAAATTTGATAATATTACCAAACACTTTGAAGATAATATTTCGGGTGGCCATTTTTCGTTTTTCACGAGTGTGATAAATAAATGTTTTTTATTTATGACCAAATAACTGGGTAAAATTTCATCAATAATAAATGGCTACTGGCCAATAGAAGCAGCAAGACCAATAATCTTCCCCACTGTCGTGGTATAACGTCACGAATACCACGTACTGTTATAATTAACCCGTTGTTACAGGTCTACCGTTCTTGACCCACACGACTCTCTCACAAAATGTGACGTGACAAAGCGTAGACCTTGAGGATATGATTTTAAGGAATTAAAACAGTTCCCATTACCTAGATACACTTGTGTGTGATATACTTACCATAAGCAGAACGGGTCAATGTATCTTCAATCGTTATAATTCACAAAAACAAACGTAAGGCTTCCCAGTGTTCGATCGATCTGGTTAACCAAGCATTACTTCCGGGGTTGGGTAAGTAAAAACGTTACAATCACAAGGAAACGGAAAAGGAATCTTTATAATGCGATGTCTTTCAGAAAGTGTCTGTGTAAATTTTCCTGTTGTCTGCAATTATTGACAAATGGCCGTTACTTTAGTTGTAGTGAATCTTAAGCGGAATCGCTTGTTGAAACGTACGCGGAATTCGGTACTGTTGTACTTATGGACCTTCCGGAATTATTTTTGTTGGTGGTGAGTATGTTGTTACGTTGGTTGACCATATACTCAGTACCTGTTGACCGTTACTAGTCTAGGTTGCAAAGTTGTAATTAGTGACCTATCTCGAAACTGAGACAGCGTCTCCGTGATCAGTGTAATCCTAAACTGCTACTGACCTATTCGCTCCGATTGACACTACCCCTCAGCCTAGTTATCCAAGCTCCAAGAAGAGTTTTTCCATATTCCTACTTTAGAAATCCTAATTCCTGAAGCATCCAGTAGATATTGGTTACTTAATATGAAGTTGCACCTGTCAAAACAATAGAAGTAGCCTACTGTGAGTTATATTTAACTTCGCGTCGGCCTTATTTGCCACATTGCAAAGTGCACAAATGTGAAATAAATCAAAAGTTATATTTAAAAGCAAATTTGCCATACACATTTGAATAGTGCTGTGAGAAATATCGCACCTATGGAGAGAGGGTGCCATTTGTCTAAAAATGTGGAATGGATGGGACTGTGTTCGTCTGTCAGTCCCTGAACCATATTATTTTCCCTTCAACCCAGTACTAACCCGTGAAGGTCCGGGTTAGAATATTGATCTTCAGTAACCCATGTTTGTCGTTAGAGGCGACTAACGGGGTCGGGTTGTCAGACATGTCATCGGTTCCCAATTGCGCAGATCGATGTTCATGCTGTTGATCACTGGATTGTCTGGTCCAGACTCGATTATTTACAGACGGCCGCCATATAGCTGGAATATTTGAGTGCGGCGTAAAACTAAACTCACTCACTCACTCACTCACTCAACCCAGTGCTGCCTGTAATGCAAACGCTCAAGGTGAAGCAAGTCTAGATTTCCCAAGGTTCCCTTCTCACTGGGTCTCCGTTTCAATTTAAATGGGGCACTTTGTTCGTTTATCTCAGAGTTATGTATTTTCAGAGACTTAGTATTAGTTAATAAATTTGTATAAACAATCGATTTTTCAAGCTTCGGATGTATAACGATATATGTTAAATAACATGCGAGCCTGTATATATTATAAAAATCACGCTTTGCAAACACGAAAAATAATAATCCACTGAATATAGTGCTGTAACCAAGTAATTCGGGGTACAACTGACATTTGGTATAAAACTGAACTCGTTGTTTTTCTTAAACACACCTTCTTTCAGTCATGCATCTATTGGCAATTTACAGTACAATGTTTGAGTGTTTGAATTTACTGTACAATATACCGCGAGAGAACGTATTACCTCAGTCCTAAAGCGTAGTTCGTTCACTTTAGGGTTTCCTACGTGTCGAAACTATGGCTTATGTGCAACTTCATATAGCTGGAATATTGCTGAGTGCGGCGTAAAACTAAACTCACTCACTCAAACTCACTCATATTATTTGCTTTAGTATTGGGAACAATAATGACTGAAGCGCACATAAAATGTTACAGTTGTGCGGTCAATGCCTCATGGAACATCGGACGTTTGATGCATATGGTTTGCTATGACGCACGTTTCTAATGTTCATTGATTCTTTCCTTACTGAGGAAATGTAGAAAGAAAGAGATGTTCGGTCCCAAAGTCTAGACTCCAGTCAACTGTTGAAACCACGTGGTGCAGTACCCTCTAGTGGTGCAACAACAATTGATGATGTCATCTTACATTATTTGAGACAATGTATTGACGCTGCTTTGCAGTTAGTGAAAACAATGGCTAGTCAAGTCACACCAGTGTAAAGTACTGCAAATACATGTAATTACACAGATATCTTACACGCACACACACCCACACCATCAAACACCCCACCCCCACCCACCCCACACACCCATGGACACTATTCGGTTTTCTTTACAAATACTGAATGTCGAGAGAAAAACTAACATTCAAATGTATGTCAAAACCGAAAATGGCAACTAGTCGACATTTAGTCGAGTCTGGACCAGACAATCCAGTGAACAACATCACGAACGTCGATCTACGCAATTGGGATATGACATGTGTCAACCAAGTCAGCGAGCCTGACCACCCGATCCCGTTACTCGCCTCTCACAAGTATGGGTTGCTGAAGACAAATTCATATATTGGAGATTCTAGTAAAAGATATAGAAGACGAATGATAGAACTTCATTGGGAGTTAAAGGTAGTCTTAAGAAACGAGGAGAGGCAAAGGGCAGCTTTAATGTTTTGATTGGTTGGTTTGTTGTTTAACGCCACACTCAGATTTATGGCGGCGGTCTGTAAATAATCGAGTCCGGACCACACAATCCAATGATCAACAGCATGAGCATCAGTCTACGCAGTTGGGAAGCGTTGACGTGTGTCAACCAAATCAGCGAGCCTGACAACTCGATCCCGTTAGTTGCCTCTTAAAACATGCATGGGTGCATCAGCTTCAACTTCATTACCCCCCTTCAACCACCCAGCGGTGGCACAAGAGTACAAAAACATCAGATGACATAGACAAAGACAACATGGGGCTCAGCTAACATTTAAAATGTTAGTATACTATTGATAAACTTCGTTAACTTTTTCAATTCTACTGTTTTCTTTGTACACATTAGTTGCTTGAAGGTAACAAGATTTTACAATTTAAGATATTGCGAAGGAATATACTTTAGTCTAATATCATTAAAGTAACTACACCTCAGTAAATAATGAAGTTCATCAGCTATTGCGGGGGAGTCGCATAACTTACCATTCGTGACCCACTCGTGTTATTCCGGGACAAGCCGAATAGTTACGGAAAGGGGCGAGTGGTGACGAATGATAACTTACATGTTCTATTTTCTCGGCCGGTCTCAATGGGTAGAAGGTACGTGATTAGTTGTTCTAAATTTCAAAATTGGGATATAAACATTGGTTGAAAAAAAGGTAACGTTCAAATGTTGAGGAATCTTTTATAGTCTTATAATAAATAACCATGGGCTATTGTTCATTAAAGACCACTAACTCTCTTTTAAAACTAGTTCTACCTTTGAGGCTAGCCATTCAGTGTTAACACATTCTGGATTTTTGAAAATATTACTAATACCAAAGTGATTTAACGTACTTAAAGAATCCCAATGCTAACCCGGATCTTCACGGGTACCTCGATCTGAACAGCTTTAACGGCACAATCAGCACTTACTCTGCTCAGGGGTAACGAACTTACGTGAGTGTGTAATTGTCGATTTTCATGCAGCATTGACGTGTAAGATGGGAGGTCAGTAACACACATTCGCACTCAAGCACGCACGCACACGCACACGCACACGCACACACACATGTACATGGTCATACTTCGTCATGGCAAGTGTGTTTGATCGTTATATTTTCGTGGCCAAAATAACACAATAAAATGTAGTGAAAATGTTAACAGTCCATGATGAAAGGGTTAAGCTCAAAATGTAGTGTATTATGAATCGGTGCCTTTCATTGCAACCAAACTGCTGAAGATGTTAAAAACAAAGCCCTATTCGACATATTGTTTTGTTAAGGACGTTTTTTCAAAGTCAATAAGCCTTTATGAACGAATGATTTTTTGCTTGACGTCCTGCCGCCCATGTTATTAACTGGCTTCATTTCATTGAAACGCAAATAACAAATACACCATAAGCCATAAACTGAGGCCAGGAATACAATGTTTATTGCCAATAGGACGGTAATTGTCAAACTAATCTCGGGTTGGAGATCTTCATTCCAGGGAGAGTCCTGCTGGGAGAGTGTTGAATGAAGATGTCGCGGGCGTCGTTGGTCGTCGTGTGTGGATTGCTGGCTGTTACCGTCGGCCGAGGTACGTTGTCTTCATCAGCTCATGATACAGGACGGAGTATGGTCAGCTGCTTTGTCCCCTCACAGGGGGATGATGGTTGTCACCTACACCGCACAAACACTCGTGAAGATCCTGGTTAGAATTGGTCTTCAGCAACCCACAATTGCCGTAAGAGGCGTCTAACGGGATCGGGTGGTCAGGCTCGCTGACTTGGTTGATACATGTCATCGTAAACCAACAGTGTAGATCGATGCTCATGCTGTTGATCACTGGATTGTCGGATTGACTCGATTATTTCCAGACCGCTGCCATATAGCTGAAATATTGCAGAAGTAGCGTTAACCAACCAACCAACTAACTGCACAAACAGCTCGTATAAGTGCTTGTCCTAAGAGTGAGTGAGTGGGTATTGTTTTATGTCGCTTTGAATGGTATTTCAGTTGGCTAGCATGTCATCTTGATTCAAGAGGCTAGCCCAGATTGGTACAGAGTTTGCATGTTTATCACTTTGATTAAAGTCACGTGTATCATGCGATCAGGGTGAGAAAGAACATTGGATTCGAACTCACATGTATGCTTTAGACGACCGGGCCGCACGTGGTTCCGTAAACATATGTTTGATACTTTCATTTCTTCATAAATACCTGACCCGTGAAGATCCGGGTTAGAATTGATCTTCAGTAACCCATGCTTGTCGTAAGAGGCGACTAACGGGATCGGGTGGTCAGGCTCGCTGACTTGAATGACACGTCATCAGTTCCCAATTGTGCAGATCGATGCTCATGCTGTTGATCACTGGATTGTCTGGTCAAGATTCGATTATTTACAGACTGCCGCCATATAGCTGGACTATTGCTGAGTGCGGTGTAAACCTAAACTCACTCACTCACTCATAAATACGTCTTAGAAAACTGTAAATTGGTAATATATCCACGTATGATGGATCTGATAAATAATGAAGGACGATGTGATATTGTCTTCCATATTTTCTGATGAAAACTGGACATTGCAGTTCGTCCCCTCGAAATGTCTCAAGGGACAGGTTGCAGGATTTCGGCCATGTACAGCCATTCTGTTTACGAGTGTGAGTAGGTGATGATGTTTTAACCTTTAGCAAGATTCCAGCAATATATAGGAGGCGTCACTCATTGTACCTACGTGGGGAATCGAACTTCGGCCTTCAGCATGAAGAGAAGACGCTTTTACCATTATTTTGTTAGGCTACCCTTATGTATAGTGAGACATTTCTGACCACTTGAATAAATCACTTGATAAAAAAACATGTCTCTCCACAGACCCTCACAGCGATGTCGGAGGGAGGAACAGGGGAGCGGGGTCAGAGGTCATGTGTCCCCCGGACTGGCTGTCGGGCAGGTTCATGTGTTACAAGGTTGTCCCTCTCAAGGTCAACTGGGTTAACGCTCTGGTAGGTGTACATGGCTGTTTAACTAGATCTTGTTTTAATGTCGCAATGTTCCAGCGTTATGACGGCGACCTGCAGGTAGGTGTGATGGTTTGCATGCTGGAAGCTACTATGGTATGTATGTCGGGAGGTGTGATGGTATGCATGGTGGAAGCTACTATGGTATGTATGTCGGGAGGTGTGATGGTATGTATGCTGGAAGCTACTATGGTATGTATGTCGGTAGGTGTGATGGTATGCATGCTGGAAGCTACTATGGTATGTATGTCGGTAGGTGTGATGGTATGCATGCTGGAAGCTACTATGGTATGTATGTCGGCAGGTGTGATGGTATGCATGCTGGAAGCTACTATGGTATGTATGTCGGTAGGTGTGATGGTATGCATGCTGGAAGCTACTATGGTATGTATGTCGGTAGGTGTGATGGTATGCATGCTGGAAGCTACTATGGTATGTATGTCGGCAGGTGTGATGGTATGCATGCTGGAAGCTACTATGGTATGTATGTCGGTAGGTGTGATGGTATGCATGCTGGAGGCTACTATGGTATGTATGTCGGTAGGTGTGATGGTATGCATGCTGGAAGCTACTATGGTATGTATGTCGGTAGGTGTGATGGTATGCATGCTGGAAGCTACTATGGTATGTATGTCGGTAGGTGTGATGGTATGCATTCTGGAGGCTACTATGGTATGTATGTCGGCAGGTGTGATGGTATGCATTCTGGAGGCTACTATGGTATGTATGTCGGCAGGTGTGATGGTATGCATTCTGGAGGCTACTATGGTATGTATGTCGGTAGGTGTGATGGTATGCATTCTGGAGGCTACTATGGTTGGTATGTCGGTAGGTGTGATGGTATGCATGCTGGAGGCTACTATGGTATGTATGTCGGTAGGTGTGATGGTATGCATTCTGGAGGCTACTATGGTATGTATGTCGGTAGGTGTGATGGTATGCATGCTGGAGGCTACTATGGTATGTATGTCGGCAGGTGTGATGGTATGCATTCTGGAAGCTACTATGGTATGTATGTCGGTAGGTGTGATGGTATGCATTCTGGAGGCTACTATGGTATGTATGTCGGTAGGTGTGATGGTATGCATGCTGGAAGCTACTATGGTATGTATGTCGGCAGGAGTGATGGTATGCATTCTGGAGGCTACTATGGTATGTATATCGGGAGGTGTGATGGTATGCATGATGGGATTTGTCCTTGTATGCATGCATGCTGGTGTTTAAGCTAGTAAGCATGCTGGTATGCCTGATGGCATGTTAGCTCGAACGTCTGTTGGTAAGTATGCTGATATGCATGGTGGTATTTGTTCTGGTATGTATGCTTTAATCATGCTGGTATGTTTGACAGGCTTCCTGGTATTTGATTATGCTGGTATGTACATTTCTGTGTAAGATGAGAATCACACTGGTATGTATGTCGGTGTGCATGTTGATATGCTGGTTTGTATGCTGATATGTATGACTGTAGCACGTGTGTAGTTATGCACGTTTTAATTCCATTATTAACGGTGCATCTCTCTTCATGCAGATGCACTGTGCCGCCATGAGGGCTCACCTTGTAGACATCAACTCCCGTGGAGAACAGATGGAACTGGAGAAGTTGCTCCGTGCTAAACATACAGGTAAATATACAGAACCACAAAAGAAACGTCGCCTTTCAAAATCAAATGCAAAATCTTTTTCTTACAAGGTGGTGTTTTTATTATGATTGTACCGTTTTGTTAACATGTTTTTTCAATCCAGATTGACAGTTATTACCAACATCAGTGTGTTTCTGATGAAAAAGCTTATCGACCAAACGCACCGAAGAAGGCAGACATGGTAAAAGGTTCCGTATGACATTCGTGAAAATAAAAATGCACGTGCATGTTAACACCCTACCAATGAAAGCGAGTCTTAAACCCGCTTAAATCATTTTTGTTTTGACACAATCACCATGCCACGAAAGATCAGAGGAACCAAGTCAGGGGCACAATCATTTTAATGTTCATGTTAGGACAATCTACCGACTGCAGGAGTGGTATCGGGTCACTAACAGCATCCAAGACCGTCCACCCAGTGGGCGACCTTCAGTAACATCCCAACACCAAGACCGACCGATTGTGCGCAACCATCTGCATGATCGCTTCCCAAGAGCGGGGGAAAAAGCACGCCAGACCATTGGGACACACACCAGACCCATCAGTACCGATACAGTGCGTCGATGTTTACGCGGAGGTAACCTCTGCTGTCTCAGACCGTATCGTAGTCCTGTCGTCACCTCCAAATTGGGCAACTCAGTATCGGAATTGGCATTATCAACAATGGAGAACAGTGCTTTTATCTCTTGAAAGCCGATATTGTGTTTCGATGGCAGAGGGAGAGTATGGTGAAGGCGTGGTGAACTGTTTTCAAGTGAGTGTATTGTTGAAAGAGACTTGTGGGGTAGTCCAAGCATCATGGTGTGGGGTGCAATCGGTCTGGGCCAGTTAGTTGACACCGTGGTGTTCCAGAATCTCGGTCCAGGATGAGGAAATGACGTGACAGCTGCTCGCTATATTGACCAAGTCATAAGACCCCACGATGTACCACATTTTGGACGTTACAGAAATCACATCTTCCAACAAGACAACGCTCGTGCCCACACTGCTAGAGCAACATTGGACTTCCTAAGACAACATGGCATCCAAACCCTACAATAGCCTGCACTCAATCCGGATTTAAGTCCAATAGAACACATTTGGGACAAGATTCAAAGAAAACTGAATGGCCTCAAACCGAGGCCGACAACTGTGGCAGGACTCGATCAGGCATTTCGCAGAGTATGCCCATGGCCTTCATCAACCGGCTTATTCATTCAATGTACAGACGATGCAACGCTTTCATCGATGCCCATGAGGCCACACGCAATATTGACTTTGGGGTATCTTACTGGTACCATTTTTGGTGATTTTGCTTATGTGAACTCTGAATGTGATTCCGGAAAATGTGTTAACCATAACTGTCAAGTTTTAACTCTTGTACAGTTTTGCGTTTCAGTTATCGTCATGCAAGAATCTCACTATACACATACGAATTAGACACCACCTTCATCCAAGGGCAATTATCAAACGTTTGGTCGAACCTTAGCATTCTGGAATGCACATGTAAAGCACGTGGCCGATTCTGAACTCGTCTGGCAAGACGCGTCGCCGGTGATGAAGAGTGGGAGTCCGAATGTCCATCAGTGCCATCAGGAGGAGGTTGTCGGCTGCTGGTTTGGTCCGATAAGACGTCCCTTCTATATAGATAGACACAGACAGGAGTTTCTGGCGTGGTGATCCGACGACCGTTGACGCGTATGGAGACGTCGTAACGAACCCTTTGGTGTTGGCTCAGGGATGGTGTAGGGAAGGGTTTCGTGTGACTGCACCACACTCTGACAGCCATGCCCTTGCCAGTAGTCTGATATTCATAAATGACCACATCTACCATACGTTTCTCGACCATTTACAAAACCAAACCATTGAAACATTGCCATGCTATGAACTCAATCAAACATCATGTTGTCTATCTTAGACGCCCAGTTCAAGGTAGACTGACTGACTGAGTATGGTTTTACGCCGTTTTTAGCAATATTCCAGCAATATCACGGCGGGGGACACCAGACATGGGCTTCACAAGTTGTACCTTTGTGGGGAATCGAACCCGGGCCTTCGGCGTGACGAGCGAACGCTTTAACCAGTAGGCTACCCCACCGTCCCAGTTCAAGGTAGAGATCGTTTGTGATAAGGGATGCATTTCCTGTCCCCGGTATCCCGCACCACACCCACACAACTTACTTCAAATTGTTAGTGTTCAAAGATAATACACAAGGTCAAATTAATACTCAATTAAATGATGGAGGTGCACACTCTCCCGAAAATGTTCGAACATGGCAGCTCGACATGTGCTTTATTGTCTGAAGCATTACTAAAATAACTCGACGGTTTGTCTCAAGGATCGGACACCTCAGTTTGGGCATCCTATGCAGGTCCATGCAAACGTCTTCAAGCATCCTTGTTTATCAAGAGTATGTTCTATCCATTACGATGTAAACCACGGACCTATTCCATTCGTGACCCACTCGTGTTATTCCGGGACAAGCCGAATTTTACGGAAAGGGCCGAGTGGTGACGAAAGGGACTTATTCGCCATCACAGCTTCTTTGCGGAAGTGACGTCAGTGTCCCTTTTCATCCTATCAGGAACATATGACAGAATCTCTCTCGCTCATGAGGGTTCTGTATAGTTTGATTTGTTTGTTGCTTCACGCCACAATATTCCAGCTACACGGCGGCGGTCTGTAAATAGACTGGACAATCCAGTGGCATTAAGACGTCTGTGACTGGGTGGATGTTTCAGAGTTGTATCATTCGTATCCTGTTCAAAAGGGAGCTGTGATATCGAACGGTTCCTGAATATTTGTAACATTAAACAGATATACAGACATACTATAAATAATGAGATATACTTCAAACTCAATGTACCTATGCACGTATTGTCTTATTCCCAGGGCTGAAGACCGAGAGGTTGTGGATCGGCGGAAGTGACCTGTCCAGTAATGGCCAGTGGCAGTGGGTGACCGCCCGTCAGAACATGTCGTACACCCATTGGTACCGCCGCACACCGCCCCCTGCCGGCAGGGGGGCTGGACTGTGCCCTGATGGTAGGGGGCATCTATCTGTGGGGGGCCAGCGACTGCACAGCTCTCTATCCCTTTATTTGTGAAGCAAGGTAAACCATGACGATATACTGACTGACTGACTGAGTTTAGTTTTACGCCGCTTTTAGCAATATTCCAGCAATATCACGGCGGGGGACACCAGAAATGGGCTTAACACATTGTGCCCATGTGGGGAATCGAACCCGGGCCTTCGGCGGGCGAGCCAACGCTTTAACCACTAGGCTACCCCAACGTCCCTCATGACGATATAACCTTAGTCTCTCAACATGAGGGACGTTGGGGTAGCCTCGTGGTTAAAGCGTTCGCTCGTCACGCCAAGATCCGAGTTCGATTCCCCACATGGTTACAATGTGTGAAGTCGATTTCTGATATTCCCCGCCGTGATATTGCTGGAATATTGCATACAACGGCGTAAAACCATACTCACTTACCCACCTAACACGTGAACCGTGTATAAGGTTTCAGAGTCTATGTAAACTGTGGACTAGTACATACACACCGTGCATGGAGGGTTTTGACCGACGATATTGACCCTGTTATATTTTTGTGTAATAAGAAGGTGATAAGCTCTGTTATATGTTGATTAGAAACGACGGCATCATGAAACGTTTATTAACAAATACCTTCACATACGTACGCACACACACGCGCAAACACACTGCCTGCATGAAATCCCCGCATGTACTTTTACTCCATTGGTAGTGAGTGAGTGAGTTTAGTTTTACGCCGCACTCAGCAATATTCCAGCTATATGGCGGCGGTCTGTAAATAATCGAGTCTGGACCAGACAATCCAGTGATCAACAGCATGAACATCGATCTGCGCAATTGAGAACCGATGACATGTGTCAACCAAGTCAGCGAGTCTGACCATCCGATCCCTTTAGTCGCCTCTTACGACAGGCGTGTGTTGCTGAAGGTGCATTCTAACCCGGACCTTCACGGGTCCAGTGGTACTGTTCTTGCTTAAAGAGTTCAACATGTTAGATTTATGGAGTTAAACTTCTCCCCTGTAATCTTTTCATTGCAGACCCTTGTTGGACCTTCACTCCTCGACTAACTAGATGCTGGATGTACAGGGGCCCTCTTGGGGTTAGAGGAGCTGTAACTTAATGTTTTCTTCAATGACTTGATACATTATGAAGTGAATAAACTGTATCAAGAAAACTAGTTGTTCCTCCATATCTGAATCATACAACGGCTGCAATGAAGGAGCCGTGTACAATAAAATCAGTTAGTCTTATCAGGATCCGCTGATTGTGAATTCGAATCCCAGACGATGAGGATCGGTTGTCAGACCAAATATGTGATCCTATGCTTAACGACAGCGGTAGATCAGCAGCTCAATACGTAAATGGTTATAAAGAGTTGCGTCCCCTGGCCATGAGACTGTGAGCATTGGTCTGTGAGCACGATATCATATCTGCCTTTGGTTTCCCCCTAGCAATTCATTGTGAACGGTTGCGCCTCATGGGTGAGTGTCGGTTCGAATCTAGGTTTGCCCCGATTAAGCTTCTGGGTGTGTGGGCACCATGCCCATGGGTTCTACCAGAGTAGCGAATGATTGCCAACTGCATCACTTCCGGCTCACCTTCAGCATTAAGCTAGAGCCGGTGGGGTAGCCTAGTGGTTAAAGTGTTCGCTCGTCACGCCGAAGACACAGGTTCGATTCCCACATGGGTACAATGTGTGAAGCCTATTTCTGTGGTCCCCCGCCGTGATATTGCTGGAATATTGCTAATAGAGACTCACTCACTCATGTGATATAGCTGGAACACTGTCCAAAGCGGCGTTAAGTTCAACTCACTCACTCATGCTGGTCGACAAGACGTGGTATAATTGCTGTTGACAACGGCGACGCATTACTCACTCATTAATTAACTGTTACTTTCACTGCATCGAGCAGTCGGACAAACTTCATTTCCTGGCAAGTGACATTTCTCTCCAAGACAGTTTTCGTCTGGGCACAGTTTTAGTTGATCGGGCGTTATTATTCTGGAAGCTGTATGTTTCGAATTTCGGAAGGGGTCTAAAACGGTAGTTGACAAAATCATATGTCCCGCCTATTATCTGAAAAATGGCCGATCTCAGTTTTGACGATGATTTGGAACGGTGCGGCAGAACAAGGTTGTGTAGAATATCGATTCCAGAGAGACCTGCCTATCCTCAGATGTCTGTGTTAGATTAGATGTGGATGCCGGATTCATCTGCCAGTGTAACCCACACGTACAGACTGTGTGATCTTGGTGGAAGACAGAGAGAGATGCATGATGAAATGATCCGGGGTGGAATTGGTCTTCAGTAACCCAAGCTTGTCGTAAAATATGAGGTGAATTTGGGTTTTACGTCTTGCTTGAGAATATTTCGCTCACGACGTGCTTGCGTGTGTATGTGTATGTACGGCCGCTTGTACTAGCCCAGACTTAAGCTGGTTTTATAGTGCTAGCCCAATGAGATAACATGCCGCAGTGAAGCATGAATACCCCACTCAGACACATTATACTGACTCCGAGCCGACCAGTCCTTGTTGTACCCATTAATGTCGAGCGCCAGGCAGGGACTAACAAGTACCATATTTTAACGTCGTTTGGTATGACGCGGTCGGGGATCAAACCCGCGACCTTCCGCTCTGCAGGCGGACGCACTAACCACTACACCACGGAGGCGGTTTGTCGTAAAAGGCGACTAACGGGATTGGATGGTCAGGCTCACTGACTTTATAACGACGTAAATTGTAATAAAAAACGCAAATTGTAATACTTGCAGCAAATTTTAATAAACCTGACGTAAATTGTAATAAAAACGTAACTTGTAATAAAAATTGACGTAAATTGTAATACGCAAATTGTAATAAAAATTGACCTAAATTGTAATAATTTTAGTTGCGGTAAAATGTAATAAATATTTACGTAAATTGTAATAACAGTTTTAATCACTCGTAAATACGCGTGTGTTTGTTTTTCGATGCATTTCATGTATCATATAAGCTTGTTAGGACGATAACTCTAGAAAGAAATGATGGATTTTGTTCAAATTTGGTACCAAGATATATAGGCGAGATTCACCGTTACCAGTTAAATTGAGTGACCTTGAGATAATTTTCCATGGTCACAGCAAAATTCTGAGGGTTTTGCCGATATAAAGATTGTTAGCACGATAACCCAAGAAAGAACAGACAAATCTTAACTAAATGACGAAAATAACATTCGTCCTGATATATAATCGATATAAAATCTCTGACTGTCCTTTTTATTATGTCTTTTCGCAAATATCTGTTGAGGTTTTGATATGTATACATATAAAGAGGGGGATGGGGGTGGGTGGGTTTTACTAACGGGTAACTTATACTATCTCACAGACAAATGTCTCAACCTGTGTGTCTGCCTGCCTGTCTGCTAATGAGAATATTCAATGCATAACTGCGATCACTGACCACATGCAATTTGAACTTAACTCCAATCAGGCTATACACCATAAACAAAACGCGCATTGATTTATGGCCCGAGTTCGGTCTATGTCACATTATGTAATTACACAGACATGCAGGTGTGATACTTGAACACATGACATGTTATGATGTCTATTGATTGCAAAATGTTATGCACAAAAAATATGAGCATGTATTTACAAAACCCAACTTTCTATATATACACACAAATGAGCGGCATCTGCTAATGAACCAGCCGTTACACTTGAGTGCACACCCACCCGCTCTGACTGGGTTCGGTATCCCGGCTGCTTCGTTTCGAGGGAGGTAAACCCAAGCACAAAATATTGCACTTTTGATTTGCGATTATACGCTTATAATTTTGTTTATTTGTTTTTTCATAATCAGCAATGCATATTATATGTCATGAAGAAGTGATAATTGTGTTTTAATTATGTTTGATTTTTTGGTTGCATGTGACCTTTAACACACTTGCATGCATCTAGTCAACCTCACCTAGAATCTGATACAAATGCAGCTGTTTGCTATGTTCCAGCCCCACGATCCCCATTTTGTGTGACTTTGTATCTTGACTTGGTACTCCCCAAAAACGTAAAATCTGCAATAAAATCCATCACAAACTTCAGGAAACAAAATATGCAAGAAACATTTTTGTACATTTGAGATTGGTAAGTCCGCTAGAATCAAATTAAGATAAAAAAGCAATTTGAAACTACAATCGCTGCCAAGCTTGGTAGCCGCGAACTCAGGAAAGAATTAATAGATTTTGATCCAATTTTATGTAAAGGTGTATTGGCGGGATTCCCCCTGCACCAGTTGAAAGAAAATATGCAAGAAACATTTTGTATGTTGGTAAAAATCCGCTTGAATCCAACTTAGATAGTAAACTGCACAGAAAAAAGCAATTTGAAATTGTAATCGCTTGATCAAGTGACTCCACCTTCATGTTTACTGAAAGAGCTTGTTTTGGAGACGCTACAAACCCCCTTTCACTTGACGTCATCATAAGAACATAACTTATCCTAATGTTTTCAGTTATTCATACATGATGTCAAGGGGTCAAACTAAATACTGAATGGTCACACAAGTGTCAGCTCTCAAAATATTGTATATCTGGACTCAATGTTTTTGAAAAATTAAAAAGAGGGTGTCCTTAAAAACAGTCCACGTCTAAATACAAATCAAGCAATCCAAATCTTTGAATGTCTGTGGTGACGGGAAGTCATCCAATACTATGCTGAACATATTTATGTGATATTATCTGAGGGCATACCATTATACAAGAGATAGCGCAATAGTGCAGTGGTAAGGCGTCTGCCTATCACGCTGAAGGCCCGGGTTCGAGGAGGCACCTAGGTTCGGGTCCCGAGATGGGCACATTTGCGTAGTATTCTTCGACAAGATACTTAGATCTACACTGTCTCAGTTCACCCAGCTGTAAAATGGGTACCCGTGAGTGTGTGCTGGCAATGTGAGTGTTTAGTTCATTGCGGCTAACAGGCATCATGGCCGTATGATCCCCAGGGAGTTGAACAAGTATCGGAAAGTACGATAGTGTCCTATGATCGGGGATAGTAATGTACGTAGCGCCAGGAGCAGGCAATGTGCCTGGATATGAGCGCCATATAAGCGGACTATTACTATTACTAGATACCAAATGGCAGATCGTTTTCCATTTTCTGCAAATTTGTAAGAAACATTATACCCCAATATGTTGTGATGACTAAAGTGTCGTTAACCAAATGAAATTTTGGATATGACTTTGCTAATGATTCCTGTAAAATAAAAAGGAAACATTGGACATCGAGAATATAGTTAGGCTGACTACTTTTTCAACGCCCCTCGTAACATACTTAAAAGAAAAGAGAACGTCTAAGGAAACATGCATTTCGATGTCTGAATACTTCTGAGCTATTTAAATACAAAGAGCAAAAGAATAAAGTAAATAATCTGAAAAGAATAGCCAAGGAGACCTTTATATCTAATTTTGATAACTATTTATCACCTCAGTCTACTCAATCAGGTGGTTACTACTTCATAGGGACCCATTCCCCTTCTTGTCACTGATGATTCTGGGATACCTTCAGTATTTACAGATTTGGATAACGCTGAAACATTAAATAAATATTTTGTATCTGTTTCAAATGTTAATGATGGCGGCAAGACTTTGCCACCTGTTAGCCATCGCTGCGTTAACAGTATAACAAACGTCATTGTAACCGAAAATGGGGTATCTGAGATAATTAAGACCTTACCAGCAAACAAATCTAGTGGAACTGATGACATTAACATGAGAGTGGTAAAACGAATTTGTACATCTATAGCTGAACCTCTTTGTTTGTTGTATAATATATCACTGAGTGACTGTATTTCCTACAATGTAATGTCACTCCTATTTTGAAAGAAGGAGATACATCCCTCCCAACTAATTACATACCTATTAGTTTAATATTACCTGTCCTTGGGAAAATCCTTGAAAGAATAATGGTAAAGCATGTACACGACCATTTCCATGAACATAACATTTTAAGTGAGTTCCAGTCAGATTTCACTGCTAGTTATTCTACTACATCTCAACATTTATCATAATATACGCTCAGTCCTAGATAATCACCACCTTTACTGTATGTCATTTTGTGATATTTCGAAAGCTTTTTACAGGGCTTGGCATAAAGGTTTATTGCACAAATTAGAAAATGA